ACAAAATACTATTGATTTTATAGTAATTTTATAAGAAAACATAATAACCAATAGTATTTCGTTAATAAAACATAATCCAGTAATCCAAATCAAATGAAATTGGTACTATTCGACTCCTCTTCTTGAGACGATTTGAATAGTATCAAAATTATCTAATTATTTTATAAAAAAATTGTGTTATATTTTGGGGAACCTTCCTCTAAATATTGGAAATCGTTATATTTTGGGGGACCCCCTCCTCAAGCATAACATTATTTATGGATACCCCCTTACTAGCTGGGTGTCTTTTTTGTTATGGGCTTTTATCTACCTCTTTTTGGATTTAATTATTAGATCTTTTTTCATATAAATTTTTAATTGTCCAATATATTTTTCATATAGGGCATCTCTTGTTTTTAGGTTTCTTTAATTATTCTTTCGAGTTTAGTTTTAAAGCATCATTACTGAGTCTTTCTTGGAGTATGTTAAGTAGAGGTCCTGCTCTTTTCTATGTAGTTTTCTTTTTTGGTGTTTATTTGTTTTTTTAATTATTTAAGAATAAAAGCTTTTATCTAGAATTTTTTAGAACTTAAATAAGTATAATATTTTATAATCTTGAGTATTATTCTTTTAGTACTTTCTATTTTCATTCAATATCTAATATAGGTCTTGTTAAGTCAAAATTTTTAATTGAATCTTCTCTTATTTTGATTAGCATTAATACTTTTAATAGCAATAACATTATTTTTACATGATTCCAAGAATTATCATTACAATATATCAATTAGGTAATTCATTTTTCTTAGACTCAGTCTCGTTAAGTCTTAGTTGATTCAATATATATATATATATATATGTCTATTTTAATAAACAGGTTCATTTATTCTGTTGCATAGTATTTATTAACTTGCCAGTACTAGGCTATATTTGTGGCTTATACAGAAATAAAATACTATGGATTTAAAAAAAGATAACAAGCTAGCAGACTTGCGAGAAGTAAAAACATAAACTCTCCAAGTATATAAAATAATAATAATAATATAATTAAAATAATATACTAAACATATTGCTTTTTTTAAAAAAAATATAATAAAGTGCAAGCCAAGATGGATAGTTCTAGCAGATCTCAGTAAAATTTGCTGTAATTTTATGTTTTTTCTAGAATTCCTTGTAAATATATAGTTCTCAGTGCATTGGAATTCAAGAAAAAAAGATACAAGCCAAGATAACTCTAGTAGATTTTAGTGAAATTTTTTAAAATTTCACATTATCATTCGAGTATCTCTTGGTTACTAATATTATTTAATGCAAGGTCAATTTATCGATTGTTATTTTAATAATTTAATATTAACTTTAAATAATAATATTTATCTTAAAATTTTTTAAAAGTTTTTAAATATTTAGAATTATATATAATTTATTATACTAAACAAATTTTATATAATAACTATATATAGTTTATTTAATAAAAAAAATTTTTTTAATATATAGTAATTATGATAATTAATTTTTTAAAATTTTCTAATTTCATACAAGTATAATATTATACAAAATTGTGTAATCTTAATTAACTTAAAACTACTGCACAGAACTTTTTTTTATTTGAGATTTAAATAATAATTTGTATAATTTTTAGATTTATATCTTATTTATTTAGCTTAATATAAAATTTTAAAAAGTGTCTATAATAATATGGTAGGTCACTATAGAAGTTTTTTGAAAACTAATAAATCAAATCACCAAATCAGAATATTAGATGATGAGAGGTTTAAATTATTTTAGATTGATTATAATGAGTTCAAAGATATCAATAAATAAAAAAATATATATTTGCAACTATATATTAAGCATATTGGTTAGATAGAATTAATAGTAAATCTAAAAATATTGCTTTTAAAGTAATTCATAATTCAACCAAGAATTGAAAAATTATTGTAAAATTTGTTACAAGAATCCTTCATTTAGAAGTGTTAAGAAACAATCATGATGAATATATTATTGTTATAAAGTTTGTAATAGAAGTTTGTTATGAAAAAATCTTGTATGAGTATCACAATTAGACTGGAAGGATGTTTTGAATATTTTGTACTATATAGCTTTGATGCATTTGCAGAAACTTGTTCACAGAAATTTATATAACAGAAATATTTTGCAAGATACAAATAACCTGCTGCAACAAAAATATATTTGAACTTGAACTAGTTTGCAGATTTTGAACCAAATATGAACCAAACTTAAACTTGACTAAAAAGCCTAAATATAAAAGTCTAGTTCGGGTTTGGTCTGTAGGAGTACTAACTAATTTAAACATTTTGGCACTATTTAGAATTTCAACATAACTTAATATTTTAATATTATTTTAAAATTTCAACATGCTAAATATTAAAAGTCAAAATATTTTTACAAGTTTAAAATAATTTTGGCTAACAACACTAAACTAAAAACAACAAATTTGTAAGATAAATTTTTTTAAATTACTTATTTATAAGTTATAAGCATTTTTGTACAGTATTTTATATATAAAAAATAAATACTGTATTTTTTATTATCCAGTACTATATAAAAATTATATATTGTTTTACACTCAACTATATTATACAACAATTAGTTTTATATAAATAGAAGAGTATAAAAAGCAAAAATATAAGATACGAATAGCAATTTTCTATAACTATTCTAAATTATTAATATAATTTATAACCTACTATATTTTACTTAAAGGTCTTTATCTTTTTATATATGTTGTGCGTCAGACGTCAGATAACTATTGGGTGACCAGCATTAAATGATCGACAATAATTGGCCTAAACTAACTCCTAACTTTACCGTAACTTTATCCTAGCCCTAATCTAATTTAGGCCGGGTGTCATCTGACGCAAGGATTCATCTAAGACACAACATATAGTATACTGTATTTTAAAAGTTTTTTTTACAATACTTTAGTTCAAACACTATATATTACTTGAATTACTTGCTTGTTAATTTAAATACAGTATATAATAATAAATAAACTTTATAAAAGCTTTGTTTTTGAATTTAAAATTGTAAAAGTTCTTTTAATTTTGTAATTTATTAGGTTTTGCATTACTGTATATTTTGAAACAATGCAAATAGTTTTTTAATTATCTTTATAATCTAAGTATGATACATTATATTAATAGCGCTTATAGTATATTATTAATTAAAAATAATCGAAACTTAATGCAGTATAAATACTAATAATTAGTTTAGTCTCCTTTAATTTAACGTCAATGCAAAAATTAGTTATTTTGATTATGTATATTTTTTTTAAAAAAGAAAATAATATATAATATATATATTTCTACTATATACTATGAGTTTTAATTCATGTATATTATATGTTTTAATAATCAATGGCTGTTAAAAATTAATAGATTATATTGTAATCTAGAAATTTATTTTAGCCAGACAAAAAAGTTAATATGATATTCTTGCAAGTGCATCTACTAATACTTTTAATCTTAAAAGAGTTAGTTGTATACAGACCGCCACTTTATTAGTAATTCCGGTCTATTCTAACCCGAATTTTGGGCATAACTACTTTAGTACTGCTAACAGCATGTGATTTAACGTTATAACAGATTCTTATAATTAAAATTTTAGGTCAAAATTTATTTAAAGTTTTACTATAATCACGATTGTCTTTTAAATGAAAATATTTCTGGGCTAATTTTACCATAGCAAAAATTTATACGTATTTTGGAATGAAAAAAATGAGCTGCCTTCTATAAAAAACAAAGCACATTGTTTTTTTTTAAAAGAAAAAAAATAATCAACACCTTAACTTTCACAGCCCATATCTCGATAAATTATTATAAAATCATACGTATATAGAATGCTATTAAAAAAAAGTCTTAAATAAAACAGTAAGAACAAAAGCAAAAAAGTCACATGTTTATACGCAAATTTTACAAATCAAAAATATTAACTATACTGGTATATACTTATCGATATATTTTTGTCAAAAAGACAGGACAATATTAGATACTACGTATTAAAAGTGACTCCGGACATAATCTTTTTTGAGTTTTAATATAATCTCATTTATACAATTAATTCACTATGTAACCAATTCAGGGTTCATGCATTATTTTTTATTTTTTTGACGTAATTATACGTCAGAGATAACTAATATAAGAAAGAATTGTAACAAATTTTTTAATGAATAAAGAGATGAAAAGGTATACAATGCGACAGGAATTACATTATTCATCAAGAAGATAAAGAGATTCGATATATTACACAATGATAATAATATTGTAATACAGCAATATTGTTATTAAATGATATAAAAAGATTTATTTATTTTTAAGTAACCTAATGTATAGTATATCAGTTATGTTTCAGGATTTAATTATGGTACAGATATAGAGTATTTGAAATTACAGAATTATCAATGAACGTTTTAGTGTTATAAATGTTGGTTTAAGAGCGTTATACGTAAGTGTTATACGTACTGTACGTACGTAAGTGTTATTAGTGTTATAAACCTAGATAACCTAGAGTGATGAAATAATTTCACCATTATTGGTAACATTGATGTTTTTTACACAATATGCGTACGTACAAACATACGTACGTATTACTGTATTGAATAAACTTCGTTATACTGTTATATGTAAGGTAAACTTATAGGTGAATTACGTAGTAAATTGAATATAAATCATATTCAATATTATTTGATTTACCATCATCTACCATAATTCTATTATTTTTTATATTTTTTAACAAAGAGAAGTGCACACACTGTAATAAATACATCATGGTTTCAATTACGGATTTATTAATATCATTTTTAAATTAAAATAATATATACATAATAAAATACAAACGGCTAGAAAAAATATTTGATAGTTTAATGAATTTGAACAAGATCAAGTTTATTATATGAATTGCGGAATAAAGACTTATAATAAATCATTGAATACTGGTACAAGTTTTCGCACTGCAATACTCAATAGATGATAAAGTCATTAATCCTTTTAATTAGTTTTGAATACCTATTGTTCTAATTCTTGTCTATGATATGATGTAATGATAATATCACGGTATGATCTTTCATTCCATCCATAATCTATATAATCACCGATAAAATTGATCTCTCTACGACCTAAAGAATATAATAATATAATTGGAGTAATGATACTGTAATATACTTCTATTCATATACATTCATATACATTCATGTTATTCCAGGCTTTACGTTTTTCTATGTTCTTTCTGACCACTATATGTATTAATTTCGGCTAGTAAAACGTTTATTTGTCTAACAAATATTATTATTCACCAGATTAGAGGTGCGATCCGTAAACTATTAGCTAATATAAATAAATAGTAGTTTATTGTAAAAATGTAGTTTTAAAATAAACTACAGTTTATTTATATGTACTGTAATTCACAGTTCGCATCTCTACTCCAGATGTTTATTATCCTAAATAGATAATATAGTGAGTATATTTCATCACGTATAGCTGGTGCCAACACATGAATTATTCATCAAAAAAAAATTGATCACCACGTCAAAAAGCTCATGAAAGCATCAATAACACGTAACTTGGTTATAATAAACTCAAAATGAGTAAAAGAGTAAATGACTTGACTTAATACAGTAATAAAAACTTCTCAAAACCTCTTTTCAAAGCAACATTTTCAATATTTTCAATGCGAACAAATTCAAGTAACTGTATTTAACTTATTATTATTATTATTATTATTATTATATTACACTAAAATTACTTGAAAATACACGTTCATTATTATATTCGTCATTGTTAAAAGATGGTCTATTCAATAACAGATAAACAAAGATTATCAATTGATATGTCGATTATTCCTAATTATGATAATCGTAATGATGATGATTTGTGTAAGTATTCGAATATTGTAAAACATGAAGTGGAAGTGAAATTAAAAGATGAATAAACATTATATTAGGTATTTTTTTAAAATCAAACGATATCGAGTTTGAAAAAAAAACTTTAAAGTGTTAAATTCTTTTAATTTACTATATTGTACTTTGCTATTTTCGATTTGATTGGGAATGTTAACATATGAATGACGTTTAAGGTACTGTACATGAACACGAACACGAACACGTGACAGCCGGAAATTTCCTGTAAATTAAGTAATTTTTTAAGGGGGAATAATTTCCGACAAAAAGGAAAATACGTACAGTAGTATAACAGATAATACAGTAATATTTAATTATCACAAATTTAGAATATTGATTTTTTAAATAAATTAATTTAGCGTTAGAGATTAAAATAGAATTTTCATAGAGTTCAAAAAAAAAAAAACCAAAAAAACAAGAAATTATTACGATAAGTTTCATTCATTCATTCATTATCGTGCAGACATAAAATAAAATAAATCGGTTTTTTATTCAGTTAAATATAAGGAAGTAATTAAAATTTACTAAAATTAAAGTATATAAGAAGTAAGAGCCTTAATTGGGGTGACAATGGAATAAAATTCATTGGAAGCATGAATTTGAACACTTTATGATAAAACCATTTTAAGAATAATTATAAGGATAAATACATAAAATTAATAACGATAATAGAAAAGATAAAATTAAACAAAAAAAGAAAAAATAAAAAATAAAATTTTTTTTTTTTATAAAATGAGTACAAAAATGTGAGAGAAATAAATTAAAGTTTTTCGTTATTTTAGAAATTAATTATTTGTAACTAAGTGATTGGGGAGACAGATTATCGGAAAGAAACGTACAGTACGGTATAAGGTACAGCAGTAAATGTAAGTAAGAAATATTTGTTTGTCTAATAATAATAATAATAAAAGAATATAATTACGAATGAACAAAAAGGTAAAATCATGGTAACACTTAAAAAGTGGTGTAATATTTCATTAAGAGACGGAATCTAAATATATCAATATATGAACTTCCAAAGCAAGGTAAATATTACTTGAAATAACAAGGTAATAACAACCCAATTAAAAGTAAACCGAGTACAAAAATTGAAGCCAATCAAATGTCGATCAAAATTTTTTAGAAAGCCATTTAGAGATTAGTTACAAAATATATCAGAAATTTGACAAGATAGACCCTTAAATGATTTATAGAAAAAGGCTGTACAAAATTAAAAAGGTATTGAATAGAACACGAAATTGAAAAATCTGGTTGGTGAATAAAGAAAATCAGGATATCATATAATAAAAGTAAATAAATAAATAAATAAAATAAATAAATAAATAAATCAACAATTCGATATTTGCATAAATTTTAATTTTTTTAAATAAACTTTTATTACACAACATTTTTGTACATTGCATTCATACTAAAAAGCAAGTTTAAGCGTATATGGCAGTACAAAGATGGGAATCAATTAATAATTAATGTTTAACGGTCAAAAAAGCATTAACGTAATAAGAGACGATTGAAATGCGTAAAAGTAATAAAATGACAATAATAGTTACGTAATACGTATAGTATGTCTGTAGATAGTTGTTGGTAATAATTATACGTAATAAAATAGAGATAATAAAAAATATATAGATAATAATAGATAATAATAGATAATAAAATAGATAATAATAGATAATAATAATAAAGTTACAGTAACGATAGTAACAAGAAAAAGAAAATACATTATACACATTACGTATACATAGTTATAAAAAGTATGCACAGTTATTTAATATAGTATAATAAAGAAAAGGTTTGTGGCTGACATTAAGTCAGAATAATCAGAATAATCAGAATAATCAGAAGAATAATCAGAATAGTCAGAATAGTCAGAATAATATCGGAAATTGATTAGAAATTAATTGGGAAAGAATAAACAATGATGAACAAGATAACAAGCCTCAAAGAGCAGAAAAAACAATGAATAAAAGAGAAAAAATGCCACCGACAATGAGTAAATTCACTGCCACATAGCGCAGCAATTTAACAACTCAGCCTCGACATTTACAAGACTTTTTGTCAAAAAGATTATCCATTAAAGGAGAATAAGCTAAGCCAATGTGCTAAGCAACTAGTGACCCAGGCAGTGCTACAACGTCACAATTAACGGGAACAACAGAATTAGTAGTTGGTAATGAAATGCTATTTTTCCCCTTGTCATTGTTGTTTATGCTTCGCGCAGGTCTTCACGTTCATATTTATTATAAAAGAAGAATTTCTATTTTATTTTCGGTTAAATAAATGATGATCAAAAAAAACATTCATCAATCCAAATTTAAATTTTAACTTTTAGAAATTAGAATCATTTAGAATTAAATAAAAATTAGCCACGTTTATCAAGATAATGGACTTGGCATTCACCTTGTTGATCAGGGAAAAAAGGACACGAACGATCAACAAACACTTTAGTAATCTTCTTTTTGAGAATTAGAATTCTAAAAAAAAAAATTATATATAATTATCGTTTATAATAAAAAAGAATTTAGTAATTGATTATAATTTGATTATAATTTGATTATAACGATAAATATTTGATTATACGTAAAAAAAAAAAAAAAAAATTTTTTTTAAACAAAGAAATTCATTCATGCTTATCTTAGATTAATTAATCACTAATAACGTTCAACTACGTATACGTAAACTAAATTTTTTGATACCGATAATGTATCTGTATGCTTTTTTTAAAACTTTAAAACAAGTATTTCAATACTGCAGTGCAGCAGTATATAACCAAAATTATAAAAATCAATAATGAAATATAAATGTAATATAATGTAATATAATGTAATATAACAGATTATGAAATTTATAATGAATTATAATGAAATTATAAAGTTTATTATTATTAATATAATATATAAAGTTAATAAACGAAATTTTACGAAATTAGCGAAATGTTGGAAATCAAACTCCGGTCAGCCGATAATTACTCAAAAATTCCAAATATGAACCTGTTAATTTCACTTAAAGCCAAAATCAGAAAATTCTTTTTTTTTTTACCATTGTATTCTCTTACACTTCTATCGCATACAATCGAGTGTACAATAGCTTGATTGCAATCGTTCTAATTATTCTAAATTAACTTTTAAACTCCATTTTTCGTTTCATTTGGCGCATCTGAGACAATTGACCTGTGAGTTCTTTATGCCTGTCAATCAGGTTTATATCTGAATTCGTTAATAACATAAAAGGCTGTGCTCATAAATACGCCTTTCCCATTTATCATTTCCGCTATCCCAAATCTGGTTGTCATGAATTGATAATTTCCATGTGTTGATTTTTAATCAACGAATAATATCTTTTTTTTTTTTTCTTTTTTTTTTTTTTCAATCTATTTCATCAAAGTTTACAATGACCTCTATAACGGTAGAACCCGCAAATCCTATTATTAATGCTAGTTTTAGTTTTTAAATTAATTAAAATACGTAAAATTTAATCACGCCAGACTGTTGGACGTTGCCTTTAAAAGTTAACCCTTAGAATTAATGTTGATAATTTCCAATTCCGTTTCGTCATATATCCGAAAAATCGAGATATCATCTATGTTAGATAATTGCTTGCTTGTTCATGTATTACTTTTAAAGTGACTCATACTTCTATTTTTGGCAAATATTTATCTTCCGTAATTCTTCCATCTGATTATTTCGGTTGGCTGTTGGTCATTCGTTCATCTTTTTTGCTCCGATTAAAGTAAGTTCATCCCGATAATTAAATTCCTTCATTTATCTATACATATATATATAGTATAATAATTTGTTATCATAAATTATTATAGTAATTTCTTATACTGTTATATATAATGTGGTATATAATTTCTTATAATAATTTCTTATAGTAATTTGTTATACTGTACGTAGTAGTATAAGTTATTATTATTATCTATTATAGTAATATAGTAATGTTAGTTATAATTATCTATTATAGTAATATTATTATTTACTAAATCTATTATTATTTACTACTAAATTATACATCTATTTTCAATCTAAATTTTTTTCTAAATTTTTATTTTATTTTTTTTTTGTGAATCCATGGATAGTAATAACTGTAACTGAGTAATAATAATAAAAAGTAATAAAAGTAATAACAGTAAAGTACGTACACTGTACAGATTCTGTGCATCTATTTAATTTCGGTTAGACTCTACTTTTAATTGATTCTCCGCTACAAAAGTTTTGGTAATTAAAAATATCATTAAATGACATTTAATTCTACTTATGAATAAACCAATTTGATCATTTAATATATCATGAAATCCTA